AGCGAAAACTATGCATTACACTTGCAGATACTCTCGCTTACTGTCCGCAGGTTAAAGATTCTCTCTTCTAAAAAGAACTCTGCAATATTCACTGAGGTACTGTTTTAATACGGACTTCATCTAAAACGCCACAGGCCACCTACACTCGTATATTGCGAATAGTGAATCACATGCGAGTTTGTATGGGAATTCAGATGTCAGGCAACATAACGGGAAATCTCAGAGTATGAGCCAGAAGACGAATAATAATGGCATTACATATTTCGATTGCGTTTTTCTTCTTAGACTTAAAGCATCCAAGGAGACATAATGAATTGGGCTTGGTTTCAGCAATCTTACATGTAGAACTGCACGTCCTAGTTCTAAAGTTGTTGTTTTGGTTTTTAATTTCGTCGAGTTTTAACACCGTAATACTCAGAGTTCTGTATCATCTAGCACATACACTTTAAATCTCAGACCATCCAGTGTATATTCTTTAGAAGTGTGCAGTTTCTGTTGCAGTAATATTTCCATCAATATGTCCACGACGTTTGGCCGATCGCTTCTCTTCGCTGTAGAAACTTCCTGTGAATTCGTGCCCACGAAGTGTTTTTCTAATCCTTTAGTGCTATCGTCGGAGGGTGTAACTTTGTCCCCTGAATACTCTTGCAAACTCCGCAATATTTCTTCCAAGTCGTGGAAAGAATCTTGATTGTGAATCATTGTTATTGATTGCAATATGTACGTTTTATGAGCTTCAGCAAATAAAGATCACGCGGCAAAATTTATAGTTTTTTCACCTTGTCAGTTGTTTTGATGGTATCGCTCCGTTTCAAGCGCACATTTTACTCTTCCACGTTTATAGAGCAACACATATGGCTGCCGAAATACCAAACGATATGTTGCTCACATCAGTTGCTCGGTGCAATTGAACACAATGATTAACAACAGCGGTTCATTAACATGAAACCCCGTTGTAATTAGGGGTGCTGTGTCAATCGAAGTGACGATCACGTCAAGCTATTCAAACCAACG